CGGTGAGGTCACGCAGAACCCCAGCAGCCGAAAAGAAAGAAACAAAAAAAAAAACTTTCAGATGTAACCAAAGCAGCCCCGCGGCCCAGTTCCAGACAGCGGGAGATTCGGCGCGGCGGCGTCACCATGCCGACGGCGGTAAACACGGGCAGAAACAGCGCCCTCACAGCTGGCCCCGCACTATGGGCGAGGGCTGCACGGGCTGAGCCAGCAAGTCGCCTTCTCTAATTGACAGAGGGAGGGGTGCCGCTGGGACGGGGAACGCGCAGAACAATCAGCATGTAGAGCAGCTACGCCTGGCCGGGGAGGACGGGCAGCGGCGCGGCCCGGTGGGATCCTGCGGCCTATGGGGGGCCCGGGGGCTGGGGCCCCAATGCGGGGCAGAGGGCTGGGGCCCCAATGCGGGGCAGAGGGCTGGGGCCCCAGTGCGGTGGCAGAGGGCTGGGGCCCCAATGCGGGGCAGAGGGCTGGGGCCCCAGTGCGGTGGCAGAGGGCTGGGGCCCCAATGCGGTGGCAGAGGGCTGGGGCCCCAGTGCGGTGGCGCACCATGTGCCCAGATGCACTAAGGTGTGACTTTCTGCTCTGAACAGACACAGGTGAGTCATCAAGGTGCCTCATCACCGCACATTCTTACCGTCTCTCCACCTCTCCCACAATCTCTCCATCTCTCTCTCACCCAGTCTCTGTCTTTCCCCCTCTGTTTTTCTCCCCTGCTTGTCCCCCTGTCTCTGTCCCTCTTTCCATCTCTTTGCCATCTGTCTCTCGCCTTCTCTATCTCCCCATATCTGTATCTCTCTCCCCTGTCATTGTCTGTCTCTCTTTCCCCATCTTTGTATTTCTCTCTCCCCCATCAATATCTGTCTCTCTCTCCCCCGTCTCTGTCTCTCTGTCCCCCGTCTCTGTCTCTCTCTCCCCCGTCTCTGTCTCTCTCCCCCCCGTCTATGTCCTTCCCCCTCTGTTTCTCTTCCCTGGTTGCCTGTGTGCATGTATCTCTCCCTCTCTGTCTCTCTCTGTCTCTCTCTCTCATATGTTATCATCGTACCCACGTGCAGGAACACAGACAGGTGAAATGGTGTCCACAGTGAAACACACCAGAAGGACAAACGGGGACTACAAATACACCCGATAACATAAGGTGGACGAGTCTCTCTCTGTCCCTGTCTCTCCCCTCCATTTCTCTCTCCCTCTATCCCTCTCTCTCTCTCTCTCTCTCCCTCTCTGTGGGAGGCTGTATGTGGCGGCCCCAGGCGGGGGTGACAGACTACTCCAAAAATGAGCGGAGTTTGGGCGTTCCTCTCCGAACGAACTGCGAACCTGCTCTCTGGAGAACACAAACATAATAAAACTCTGCTCTTGAGGCCATGCACACATACACACATACACACACACACACGCAAACAATCACTGATACTGTGATACAAGGCTTCAGTGAAACTTCTGACTTCCTTAATACAAGTTCAGAGATGCAGTCATCAAACTCAATTGAAAATAATCATATTATATATACAGAAATCCCCGCCTATCGCGGAAGTTACGTTCCAGACCCATCAGCAATAGGTGAAAATCTGAGATATAGAAAGACCATATAAATAAACCTTTTTTTTATAGTTTAAGCCTTAAATATTAGGGCTTAAAACAAAATGAAAAGTTCACAAAAAGTTTGCTCACAACAATCACCCAAATCACGCTATACGCAGAGAACTGTGATACATCAGGGGAAAATCCACGATATAGCGGGGGATCACTCTGTGTGTGTGTGTGTATAAATATATATATATATATATATATATATATATATGTTTATCATAAAGCCATAAAATCAAACATTGAGGTCCTAAATGCCCCAAAATAACACATAAACTCTCGTAAACCATCTCAAATACACACACACACACACACATATGCGCACAATAAACCTCCTTTATAGTGCATTCAGACCCTCCGTTCACTCTGTTCTGCCCTGGAGCAAAACATTTAGGGTCAAAGGTCATATTGCTCATTTTTCTGTTTGCAGCATAATGGGACTCCATGTCAATGGATCTGGGCCCAGGGCCAAGAAGGGCCATGCAGAGGTAAGACTCCACCCCGCCCCCCCCACGCCTAAAGTGAGTGACGGACAGAACCCCCACCCTCCCCCCCCTTCAATCGACGGTGAGATGTGGGTGACCCCAACGGAGGGCGGATGACAAAGAAATTCTGCGCTCTCTTGAGAGAAATAGAGCAGTGGGCGCTACTCGTAACCGAAGTATCACCCCGTTTGCGTGACATTCCAGCTGCTTTCATGGCGTTCTGATCAAGGCCAGCGTGCGTTAGCGTATTAGCGTAGCGTAACAATGGGGTCATTCGTTCGGTCTCCTCGTCCAAACTGCCCGCCCTTTTCCGGTTTCTTTCAGCCCTGAATTATTTTTCTTAATGGAATTCCACACCTAATTAGATTAGATCTTGCAAAAGGGCTGATTCTGGGACTCCGAGAAGATCTCGACCCGAGAACTTGGGCAGCTGTCTGGACAATGTGACCCGCTGGTCTCCTTGGCAGTGTACCCTGCAAACACCAACGGCAAGAACCTCAGGCCGTTTGGGTAGAACCTCAGGCCGTTTGGGAAGAACCTCAGGCCGTTCGGGGAGAACCCTGTGTGACTCCATGCTTGTTCCACCCTGCGCTGGTACCCCAGTAAATACAATAATACCCTCCGTCCCCAGTGAGCCATGCTGGTGGGGCAGGCAGCTGTAGGCTGGACCACAATAAGGAGAACATGTTGATCTTCATTGATAGATAAATATAGATTCCTGAAAAGGTCAAGAGAATTTCTGAAGACGTCCCCAAAATGCCGGCATGATTTTACTGGGTCTCCCCTTGTGCTACATTCTCACACCCAGTCTGGATTTACCCGTTGCTAATTTATTCACAGCTTTTGAATAAATCTCCGTAAATGTTGGATAACCACAAACAGCCGCAAGGAGGGGGAAAAAAAGACTGCGTCCATAACCGGCACTTAAGGCCCTCCGCTCTGCGGTCTGCGGATTGCGAAGGCGAAGACGTCGAGCAATACATCACGCATGTCAACGCTGCTGGTGCAGAGCCAGTTTTTGGCAAAGAATAAATATGTTTATTATTCCAGCGCACAAATCAAGGTTTCGCTAAACACGTCTCTCACGCGCGGGGCGGCCGTATTCATAACCGTAGATCTGCCCGGGCTTCCTTTCGACGTTATTTCCATCCGCAATAAAATTACAGCAACCGAACTGCTCTTCTAAAGAGCGTCCAGTGTAGGGCGCCTATATGGGTCACGGACTTCATAAATGTGAAAAAATGCAGGCTCTGCTTTTCAGCTGCGGTCCACACTCATGGTCGCCTGCCCAGTCCCTCATGAATAAGGATCCTTGACAAAATCAGGCATTCGTTCACTCACTCCGGAACCTTCTTTTTCATTTTTTTTCTCCCTGGTGTTTCACTTCTTGATTTTTTTTCCTGGATCTTTTTCCTTAAGAATGTTACATTAACACTTTTCCACAAAGCATTACATTTGGGTGTAACGTGTACGATGTGATTAACACCCCTACCTCCTCCCTCACTCCGATGTCAAAAGGTGAGGCCAGCGCCTTTGATTCTGCAGTGTCTCATTCGCTTGACTTGCTGTGTCTAACACATTTAACTCTGACACGACTCAGTTCCACGTGTTTATGATTCAGGGCCACAGAATGGCAGAGCCGCCCGCCTGCCCTCCCCCTTATGATAATGATAGCCGTGAAATGTAAAGTTCTAAAGAACCTTTTATTTTTTTTGTCTTGCCCCTTTAAAATGCATGAGTTTGCCGCTGCTTTCTGTCAAGAGTTGGCCCTCAGGGTAGAGGTGGAATAGGTGGGGGTGAGCACAGGGGGGGTTACATCTTAGCGTCTCTGTTGGCAAATAACAACCAGGGTCCTCAGATTTCACAGCTGCAAGCCTGGTCCACCTCCCCCCCCCCCAAAAAAAAAAAAAAAAAAAAACTCACAGATGAATGAGACGTTAAGACGTCCTTCAGCGTGTGAAAAAAATGCACCTTCGCTACTCCTGAATTTAATCATGCACCCCCACGATGGAACCATATAATTAATATGGTATTAAATGCATGTTCACATATTCATTTATATATAGTGCCGCCTGAATATGTATGGCGATGCTGGGTGAACCAGGTGAAACGTATTACTAATGGTCCTCAATTTGGTCCTCAATAAGTAATATGTGTCGCGTCTGTTCCATCCCCTTCCTCGTAAGAATGCGAAGACACAGCTGTCTGTCATTAACAATGTACTGTTTAGCCCAGTGCGATCACTGGATCGACGCGAGGTATAGTCCACTTTCAGGTGAGACGTGCTGAGCAATCTAACCCGGACCCGCTCCCCCTCCTGCCTGTCCTCTCGTTGTGTCCCCTTCTTGTGTGAAGTCTGGTATCCTGTCTCCGAAACCCCCACGCCCCCGGTGCTGACCTGTTTTCAGGAAAATGGCTACTGCCGGGGTAATGTGTTTTAAGTTATGATTAGCAGTAACCACTAATTATAGCTAATGCTAACTACAGTGGTTGGAGCAGAAGTAATCCAATTTATAAGACATAGCAACTATCCTTTGGTTATGACAGGCCAAGACTAATCAGATTCGGTCTCTTTTTTAGGAGCCATTAGTAACCATCTGTAAATCACAACATCGTTACCCTGAGCAAAGAAGCATGTATCGCTAACTAAAATGCTAACTGGCGTGATAGACCCCCTCTACGGCAGTCTGCCGAGTGGGCGACCGTGTGCCCATTATCGTACATCGCGAGATTAGATCACATTAAACGAATCGGCCTTCTATATCGCTTGTGCACTGGTGCATGTGAGGCGATCACATGAGGGTGAAGAGCTTCATCGCATAATTGAGGCCATGAACGATTCGACATTCTGCGTACACAATTCACGTTGAAGACAATTGCATCTTAGGTAACTTTGATACCCCTCCCCCCCTGCATGTGTGATGGACTCACCCAATCTGCCGGTTGGTGGACGGGGCCTGAGTGATGACAGAGCTGGACTGGGGCGAAGGGATGGCCTGCTGGATCACGATGCCCGAGCCGTGGTTCGCCACCCGCATGTGGCTGCTCTGGTGCTGGTTCTGCCCCCCCGGGCCGTGCAGAGACAGACTCTGGCAAGGGAGAGATAAGGGGACACAGTTAAGTGGCAGTCCCGCCGAGAAGGAGATGTGGAACACGGTCAAGCGGGAATCCCGCCGAGAAGGAGATGTGGAACACGGTCAAGCGGGAATCCCGCCGAGAAAGAGATGTGGAACATGGTCAAGCGGGAATCCCGCTGAGAAGGAGATCTTGGTGACCTTTCTGATGACACACTGGCAGGGGTGTCGGGGGGGGGCATGGATACCCTGTCACATTCAGGGGGTCAGCACTTGACAGGGGCCCTTGAATACATAAAATTTGGCTGGGGGGCCCAAGGTGACATTTTGACAGGGGGGGGACACAATTTCTAGGTACGCCCTTGCACACTGGTCCCCTCTGCAGCAAGGCAGCACAAACTGCCTTCTGTTCTGACTGCATGTGCGTCTGACAGCTAGGAAAGCTCTAGAACTGCTTTTTGTCAAAGCGCTATTGCCGGTACTCCTGTGGCAGGAGACTAAGATTAACCGCAAGTACCGAATATCTACATACATCAGACACGTGCAGAGTGTACGTGCAGAGAACGGTACGTGTGTGTGTGTGGGGGGGGGGGAGTAAACTTCCACTGAGAGTCTTTGCTGCAGAGAAAGATTTTGACCTGTTTAAAGCATGGCTGAGAATCCGATCCCCCAGGTCCTCTTACCGGGTGCAGGTCAGGTGTCTGTTCCATCCGTCCCGCCTTTGTCATTTAGCCAGCTGATAAGGTGACTTCCTTACCAGTCTACCTGAGTGGGCTTTATCTGGGTCTATGTCTGTCCTGTTCACCTGAGGACACCAACCCCTCATACATACAACCTGTACCCTGCTTTATTCCAGGTATAACCCTCCTCTGTCGACCATCTACATCCAGTTCCCAATTTTTAGCAATTATCAGGTGCTTGTGGGCTGCCAGTCGCTCACAGGACACACACACACTTTTACGGAATCAGTTGAGGGAAATGCAGTTCCATCTACATAGCTCTACAGCACATTCACTAATAGAGTTGGGTAATTCAGGTCCAGAGACTAAAACTTTGTTTCAAAGATTTTGTTTCAACCGACCGGTTCAGCATAAAGAGTCACAGTCACAGAGTATTCAACTTGTTGGTTGAAACAAAATCCCGGTCTGGATTTTATACTCTCTGGATCTGAATTACCCAACTCTGTTCACTAATAGCGTATTAAATGAAAAAAATGAAGTTGAATTTTGATTCGAAACAATATGTGAAAGAATCTGGAAAGAAATCTGAAAACGTGAGGTATGTTTGTGTGTAGAGTCTGTGTTATATTATGGGTGATGATCCCTGTAATATTCAGACACTGAATTACTTTTATTTACTATCAGGCATTTATGTGGCCACCTATGAGCAATATTATTCTGGCTGCTAGGGGTCCTAACAGGCAGAGGGAGAGAGAGAGAGAGTAAATTGCAGCTCCAGTGTGTGTGTTATACCTAGCTGATGCTTACCTGCACAGTTTGTATTAAAATTTGCAAACAATATCCTCCACAGTCCTGCATTCATTGTCTCACACAAGTGTCTATCTGGGAACGTTCTCCTCACCTGTTTGTTGTCCTCTTCTTCTTGGGCTTTACAGAACTCCTGCTCTATGGAGCAGTCCAGCTCACTGAAGAGCCCCACCTCCTCACAGTTCTTCAGAAACCGTGTTGGCGTTGGCGTCTGGTCTGAAAGACACAAATAAATGGCCTCACTGAACCCAAACGTCCAGGTGGTGAGAAGTGGCTTAATTTTTTGATGGTCTTAGGCAGGATACATTGGAAACTCCGCTTTTAATCTCAATAAAGGTCAAGGTCTTCTGTTTACTCTCTGAATGGAATTTACAATGCATTGCTAATACTCAGTGAGCTCTCAGTTGACAGGAATGCAATGATCCAAATCTCCCTGTAGTTTAACTAAGTCAAGTAGAGTGTTAGAGAGTTAACTGGTATGAGGAAGTGTTAACTAGCTGGGAATAATGTAAACGTCTCCGTCAGATGATACAATCAAGCTTTTGTCCCTGAGTTGGTCCACAGTAAGTTGGTCTCCACAAAGAGTAAAAAAACTACCAATTCTCTCAAGAGAGGGAACTGTGACTCAGAATGGAGCATACTTGAGGAACCTGAATCCATCTTCAGATGAGTGTGAATTGTAAAAACAACTGAATCACTCTGTGCTGGTCGCAAAAACTCAACAGAACAGGTCTGGGACCCAAGAGAGTGACTGGTAAAAACCACAAATGGCCTGCCATGTTTGCCAAACTGCTCTCAGCTGCTCAGAATCAGCCTCTCGCTCATCAGTCATGACCCACTCCGTGGTATAAGACGAGAACTTTCCCTCGCGTCAAAATCTCTGTCGTCTAAATCGCCCTGTGACTCGGGGTCAGATTTCCAGCCGTCCTGTGTTTTTATACAATTACCCAAAACGGCAGTTACCAGCAATAGGCAACAGTGGGATCCTGACAGGAGGGGACCCAAAGTCAAGGTCATGTTTACACATGTCAGCCATCTGTTTCCGGGGTAACAGGCACGTCTGCCAGGCTGCGCCTCAGACATTGAGCCCGTAATGAGCTCATGCAGTCAGATTGGAGGTCTTCTTCCTCTGTGTGGTCTTTCCCATTATCCTGACTCCTAATCAAGCAGAGTCTACAGCCAGGGAAACAATCACTGGCCCAAGAAATTACTCAAATCAAGCATGAAGCTCCATTAACTTCTCGTTGTCATTTTTCACCCAAATTCCCCCCCCCCCCAAGTCTAACAGACCCCCCCTTCCACTAGATCCCCATTTGCTTCCAACCCCAGAATTCAGTCGGGGGCCCACAGGGGGCCCAGGGGAGAGTACACTGATAAGAGTCATCTGGTTACATACTGCCTTGAGTAAGAGAAATATTGTCATAAGCTCAAAACTTCTAGTTCAATTCAGCAAACCCTAAGAAAATGGTCTCACCTTGAAACATTAATTAAAAGCAAATAAAGAAGACTGAAAAAATAATACCTACAGTATCTGAAGATTCCTGTTTTATGGTCTGACGTATACATCCCACCTGCACATCAACGCAAATCTGCACGCACACACACTCTCAGGTATTCGCGATGCCGTCTTAATACGATTAATATAATCCCCGACCCCAAACCAACAAAATTCATAACAGATGGAAATCGATAAGCCAAGGTTGATGCTTTTAGTTTCCCTCCAGAAAAAAAAGTTCTTAAATGGTTAGGAAAGCATGTACACACACCCACTCACTGTTAGCTGCCACCCCCAGAAGTTTGGGGAGATTTGTAAGTGATCCTGTGTGGACGTTTTAGCCACTCTCCTATAACAGGCCGTGCCGTGCCGCGTAAGCCCTGCGGCTGAGCTATCACTTGCCAGGGTTTTCAAGGTTTAGGATAAACTTGACTTAGAACTGAGGTTGTGAGCTTTGATGGGGGGGTGGCGGGGAGTTGGCTGGGTGGGGGTGGGTACCGGTGACGAATAATTTTGGCTCCCGAGTAATGTTATGCATGTTCTTACCTGAAAGCATGTTGTCATTCTTTATAGACGGAAATTTCAGCGTCATCTCATGTTTATGCCGGTGAATCATCAGGTGGTCCTCTGTGGGGAATCGCTGTGGGTACAGGGTATGGGGGGGTTAGTGATCTGAGCATGCTCAGAGAACACATCAGGTGGTCCTTTGTGGGGAATCGCTGTGGGTACAGGGTACGGGGGGTTAGCGATCTGAGCATGCTCAGAGAACACATCAGGTGGTCCTCTGTGGGGAATCGCTGTGGGTACAGGGTATGGGGGGGTTAGCGATCTGAGCATGCTCAGAGACCACATCAGGTGGTCCTCTGTGGGGAATCGCTGTGGGTACAGGGTATGGGGGGGTTAGCGATCTGAGCTCAGAGACCACATCAGGTGGTCCACTGAATTAGCCACTATTTGTACCTTAAAGGTGCTTTTGGAGGAAAATGTTACTAAAATACTTTTTCTAGGTCTTTGGTCTTGCTTGGCGGTTTACTAACTGGCCTTTGCCAAAATACTTGATTCATAAAAGGAAGGACAGAGTCATTCACATATAGGAACAATTATAAACAAAGCAAATGGCTTTTTAGGTATTATACCCGTGGCACCTTTTCTCTGAGAAGTTGTGAATTTGTACAGCTAACTGAGCTACAAGTAGAAATTTAAGATGTACCGCAGTCATGCAAAATCGATGAAATAAAGAGAAATTACAACTACTCTTATATCTTGGTATTTTTAAATGATAAGATGTTCCATGTTTAGGAACTGCTTAGGCACTAAGAATTACATACGGACAGCGAACACTGAGCCAATCTCTCACCTACCCGAATATACAGACTCTCAGCCGGTCAATAAAATCGGCAAAACCCGTCCAAAGAGAGAGAGAACCGGGTCAGAATCATTACGGATTGTCCAAAGACGAAACGGCAACGATTCCGTCAAAAGATTTAAACCAACTTAAGAAATGTCGCATTGAAATGCAACTTGTCATTAACACATTTTAATAATATATAACTTCCATAACCATTAGATCTTAATGAATTAATAATCGCTGGTTACCAAAGAAAGAAGCACCCTCTGTAAATACTAGCCAAGATATTAATATCTTAATATCTCGTATCTGCCTGATGCCGAGAGATTTGGATCCACACTGCCTTTAGTGCGTTTTAGGTATTTAAAACGCCACACATCTGGTTATTACATTACACAGGAAAAACGTGTTCTCCTTCATATAATCCAGCTCTTAAACGGAAGGAACTTATTTTCCCTTAAATGCTTAACTTGATGATATTAACGTAGCCTAAATCTTTGAAATGAATCTTATCAATCAGGGTGGAGGAAAATACACAAAAACACCCAAAAGCCAAAACTAAACACAGTGGATTTCTAAATAAAAAAAATTATTATCTACCGAAGTTGTTCTGAATTTCTTTTAGACATACTTTAGGTAGAATCGGCGCTTGATTTTTACATTTTTGAGGGGAAAATATTTCGCAGTATATATATAGGCCTATAGGTCTAATGTAAAATCTGTCTTGTTTTGTCTGATCTTTTATACTTTGTAACCATCCGAGAAGAAGCAATATTACAAAAACAAAAATGTAAAAAAATAAGTAATCTTCAAGGGAAAGCACGTTAATAGTAGCTTTTCCTGTGAAATTTCGTCGTATCTTATGAATCATTTAACCTATATCAGAAATTATCTAACAGGTTGACGTTAATGTTCTGCAGTACGAAAACAGAAATGCCAAAAAAATCAACAGGTTATCATTGCAAGTAAATGAAAATAAACACGAACGCATATAAACAAGAGCTGGATTCCGTTTAGATATAGTCTGTTAAGAGTAGTCTAGACAAACTTTTTATAAAAAGTATTAAATTCGACTTCTTATTTCGTTTTCTATTCACTAACCCAAATGCACTAATGCATTATTCGGAATTTGTGAATACTCGAGTTTTAAATATTTATGGTATTTTTCCAATCGTATAACATAATTTAGGCCAGCTAACTCAACAAACAGCATAATAATTATCATCACTGTGTTCAAATAAATGGGAAATGCAAAGCGCCTTTGGGAGACTTTTTTCCTTTGAATTATCATCACTGTAGGTCAAGACTATCGGCAACGGATATATCGTCAATAAACTGACAAAGGCCCAAACGTAAGAAAACGTCTCAAATTCCCGTTGGATTATATACGTGGTTTTTAGTTTAATTTCAGCTGCGTTGCTCACCTGGGTGCATCCCGGGGCGTTGCAGACGTACGGTCTGTCCTGTTCGGCGTTCATCGCTGCGTCTTCATAAAGCTGCGCACGGAAAGGGGAGAGGAGACTGCCTTTGGTCACTGAAACAAAGTTTTAAAAACGCCCACCATGCGCCATCTAAAGATGGTGGTATAGTGTCTTGCCTCTGGGTTTATAATTGAACGTGGTTCGGAAATGAACTTGAAGCTTGAGCGATGCATGTAAGCAATCTCTCCAGACCCGGCGTGCGCCTTGATGTCTCAGTTTCGGGCGGAGAGCCGCCAGTCACCGAGCTGTCAGCGGTCAGACTTAAACACCGCGGTACTGTATTACACACTGGTATAATTAAAAAGGGCTTTTTTCCCTCTCGTCTTCCTCATAACTCATTGGGTTTTCGACAGCTCATGCCTATAGATGCTTTTTATATTTAACCTATACACAAAATAACTACTTTGACGTTCATGATTTTTAAATGTAAATAAATCAGCGATTGGTGTTGAGGAGTAAGTAACGTTGAATGCGTAGGTAGCCTGTTTATTTATAGATAAAATTCTGGCATATATCTGTAACGCTGCCATGGATCTCATCCCGAAAGAAAGCGAATCAGCCCGAATTAATAACACCACCAACACATTTAGTCTAAATTTTAACATTTGAACTAACGAAACAATAGATAGATAGATAGATAGATAGATAGATAGATAGATAGATAGATAGATAGATAAACAGACCCCAAACATAATTAACTAACTTCTAAAAACAATACTGTAATAACAATATAAACCCTAACAGGTAACATGCAGTATGCATACTGTTTGCATTATGAATATTAACATAAAGTCCAGCGACCATATTGGAGAATCAGTGTCACACAGGCGTTATTTGGACTTCAGGTATATAGTTGTGCCACTGATCGTACTGTAGACAGCCGTGCATCGGAGGAAAAAAGGTTTGCAAAAAAATCAATCACCTATCAGCTTTTGAAGTTAAACAGCAGAGCCCCCACCAGACGTGTGGACCCAGTTATTACATCTGACAGGGGGACTTTTGACAAAGACCAAAGTTATGGGCTGTGCATCAAAGAGCAAGAGAGTAAAATGTTTATTTATCTTAAAAAAAAAAATGTCATCGGCGATCCCGTTAGAGACGTCTCGCTTGTAGTCACATGCCAAGGCCCCTAACAATGAAGACAATCTCCATGCGCAACAGGACTGGACATCAGTACAACTTGGTAAAAGTAACAGGGAACAGTGCAGGAGAGATGAGATACCACCTGAAATACGGTACTTATAGATCAGAATCTGGCTTGCAGCTTGTTATTTATCTGTTCATGGGAGTGATTGCTTCTCATCCCCTTTTTGGTTTTGGAGGAGACAACCTGTAGAAGGTAGAAGGCTACCCTGAGATGCTGAGGACAGTGTGGCGATGGGGCGCCATTATTTACTTACAATACTGCCCTTAATTTCACATCCAGCTCGTAACTGCTTTGAACTCAGCAACCCCAGAATTCTTCCAATGAACCTGGCAGTACAGGGTCTCACATGAGTCTGGACTGCAAATCCCGCCGGCTTTACATGCCCCGCGGACCCCAGCCTTTTCATTTTCTGCCTTCTCGTCACATGCTGGTCCCATGATGCACTCCTTTGTTTTGGTTCAGTGGAGGAAATAGGTTTACATTTTGTGCTAAGTGAATCCTGATGTCGGGGAAGGCCCGAGTCACTCCGACGACGGAGAACCAGACCTGAGAGGTTATGGTGTGACCAGATGCAGAAGAGCTTTCCAGACACCCACATAAAACCCAGCAGCATGACAGGGAGAAGAAGATGCCAGGAACAAACTAGTACCGCAAGTCGTCCTGCAGCACCAGTAGTTTGTTCAGTCCTGGAAGGGACTGGCTCATTACCAGTGCTGTGCATGGTAGCATGAAACTTTCCATACGCACAGCGAGTGTTCAGGAACCGCCAGTATCTAGTATAAGTTCAGCCTGTCATCAAGCAGGGATCCACAGCCGTAAGTGACGGGCCGTAGGTCACCATCAGCTGGTAGTTTGAAGAAGCTGCAAAATAGTCCAAAACCCCCAAAATCTCAATGTTAAAAAACTGGAGGGATCCAAATCCCATTGCCTGTACTGTGCGTGGAGTTTGCATGTTATTCCTGTATCTGTGTGGATTTCCTCTAAGGTATTTTGGTTTCCACACTACAATCCAAAAACTAGGTAAATGTCACAGTGAGCGTAAGTGATGCAATGGACTGTTGTTCAGCCCGACATGATCCCAGTCTCGTGCTCTGTGCTTCTAAAGAGATTCACTCCATGAGTGGTTATGGATGGATGGATGGATGGATGGTCGGCCATATCCGTGACATTGAAATTTGCATACTTAAGTAAAAGGTGTAGGAGTCACCCTGCTGTTGTACCATGGATGCATTTCCTGGGTTTACAGATAGATCTCCTTTTAGTACACAAAGTTCGTGCGTTTTACAAGCAGACGGAGCTCGAGCGCACAGATGAGCTAATCTGGAAAACGAGTGTCAAGTCAATTCAAACCAACACGTGACTTCAAACAGCAAACAGCTTATTTCAACAATCACTCTCCTTAACGTCCTTTATATACAATCAACGAAGACGTCAGGAAAAAAAAAACATTATGACCCATGGACGATGTGGCTGTTTGACCCGCCGATTGTTACGATTGTTCTTTGATGGTGGATAAACATGCAGGATTCTTTTTCTTCAGAGTGACATTATGTGCCCTAAACTTAAAACTAAATTCATCACATTTAATCTGGACCGAGCCCCCCTTTTGATTCACTGATGAAAACCCCAAATGCAAGTTTCGATTTACTCACACCTAGTAAGAGCACGACGAAAAATTAATATTTCATAAAAAAAAAACTGGACACATAACCAACGAATACTTCAGTGTAATACCGATATATAATTTAAATGTACATAAATAAATTTGATGCATAACCTGGAGGATTAAGATGAAATAACTGTAACAATAGGCTACTGGCCGCATGATTCATTGTAAATGTTTTTATGCTACTAGATTAGTTTAAGCGCAGTATACGGACTGTGCGTCCATTTAATATGGTAGCATAATAGTTTTTGCTTCCTGTTTAGGTACTTAGTATTGATATTGCCGGGGGTAACTTCTGGTAATGTATTGAAGTATAAGTTCTTAATATACTTCATTACATGAGGATGACAAGGCGTGTGGTTCCTTTTCTTCTGCGACTGTGCAGCTCTCGCAATCCGCTCCTCGCAGCCGAGCAGAGGAAGCGTCCCCGTGGCGCCGCACTGCGCCCCCTGCCGAGACTCATTCCCGCGCGAGCTCCGTCCGCCTGTCGCTGCGGTGTCTTAAGTGACAGAGCACCGCGTTATAGGACGACAGAACAACTCGTTTAACAATAAAGTTAATTCCTGTTTTATTAGCTATGAAAAGTCATTATTATCAACAACAGTAACAAATAACTTAAACTTAAGGTTACACATATAACACTAATAACAACAATATTTTGCTTTTAATTTGGCAACATAATACGTAGTACTATTCTTATTTTTCCAAAGATCACATCAGTATAGGGTACTAATACAACTGAACATCTTAAACACTCAGAAATCAGTAATTATACGCTTGAGTGTTTTAAACTGTAATTTGCCGGCGTTGATTAGTATTATTACTGTTGTTGTTAATGTTCATTAGGCTACTCTGTACTACTGTCGGTTAAACTTTTGTAGGTACTGTTTGCAGAATTTTATGATAGTGTTGCAGTGTTACAACTTATGACATATTCAGTGATGAAAAAGCTACATTTGATTGATATTTTAATGATAAACAAAATAATGATCAGTGATACTTGTACAGTATCCCCTTCCTCATCCCACGGGCTTTTAAGCGCGAGATTCTGCTTTGTCGGCAGTTCTACCTTTAAACCTTGAGTATCTTCCAGGCAATCAAATACTTCGATCTGCAAAATGACGTAATGCCTACATATACAAATTCTTAAGTGCGGTAAAAACAAAAATAATACACGGATACATTTAAGGAGCTGCCACTGAACCTGGACCTGTTAGTAAGTCAAGATCCGTTTTTGGGCATTTTTTGCAAATCCAGTAAAATGCATGATTTTCTGATCTGGCCGCAAGTCTGCACTAAAAAGACAGCACGACTGTGATATTTACAAACGCGAACTTCAAAAGCTACGCAAACCGTGACGGTCACCGCTTCTGGAGCAAAGCGACGCTGACGAAGCCGGCCGGTGGATGAACTTGTGTAGATTTGAGGGTCTCAGGGAGCGATAGCTACACCTCGGACCTGCATTCGCACTCAGGTACATAAACACACAAACATGAATATGTGCGCTCCAACAAGAAAAACAACGCCATGTGTTGCGCTCCTGTGTGTTAAACAATGCGGGGAATTCGCGACATTCTTCCATGACTCTTTCAAACTGACAGTTCAAGGCAAGTATGTGACAGTCCGTCATTGTCATTTTCTAACCAGGAGCAGAACTTCAACAAATACAGCAGTTGCACGTATGCCAATAAAGCGCTCAATTAATTTAATTTCTTTTTCGCCTTTTTCCAACAAAGATTCAAGAGACATCGAAACTTCTTAAAAACAGAGAAGACGTTCAGGTGAAGCTGATCTAAGCAGCATACAGAACTTCGCTCAATCTGTTGGCGAACTTAATAACAAACAGTATTATACACTGCCAAAGTGCTCAGTCGTGCGCCGCAAATAGATACACAGCTTACTGTTTATGAACATTGAGCTAATATATATAGAAAAAGTAAAGCGAAGACATATTTAATATCCTGTCATGAAGTTGTACAGTGCCAGATAATAAACGTGACAATCAACAACTGTACATTGTTTTTGAACCACAAAAGTGTTGCCTTTCAAGGCGGCCGTTTTAGTAACTTACCAAATAAGTGTGGACGAGAAGCGGCACTCTTAGAGAAGGAACCACGTTGGACTGGGAGCAGATTACAATACGATCTATTTAGAGAAGCGTTACATCACCCCGCGGTGACGTCACGTGGGATTCCTGAACTTCTAAATCATTGCGGTCCGTTTCTGTTGGGCGGGGCTACGGGCCGCACGCATCGAGACGGTGCAGCGTAACGGGGGCGCGCTGTTCCAAAAGTCAGCGCTGAGGGTCTGCGCTGACGACTTCGACGATCACTGTCACAGCCCCCAGAACCCGCAGACCATGCCCAGAGCGGGACACCGAGGCATGTTCAGCCAGGCGAGTGGTTTATTTTACTGGGTGTCTTTTGGTATCGGTTACATTACTTTTTCTTTACTTCAAAACTTTTTTGTAAACACAGTGACATAAAGCAGATAGTCGCTTTCATTTTTGAAGTCAGATGGGAATGCGTTTCAGGAACAGTCTCGTCACCAATATATAATTAACATCTCCGTGCCAAAAAAGTTCTGATCTCCGAAAGGCTATGGAGAAACACACGTCCTTCGTAAATTACTGCGATGACTTGCAGGACTGTCTCTGATTAATGAATAATGCCGCCTCTTGTAAATAAATAATGGACAGGATTATGTCGACTTTTAAAGTGTTGGATTTAAGAGATGCTGTTACAGAACTTATATGCTCCAGACTACCTGATAACGTGATCTGGTAGCAACACAAATCAAAGTCTAAACCGGACAGCATTTCCATCACAAAAAGACGTAAACTGTTTAGACAGGTAGGTACTGTATAGCGCCCTGCGGACGTCAGAGGTTATGAGACTTAGATTAAAGCGGTCTACGTGTCATATCACCAACGTATAAATTTGTTGGATTATAATATATCTAATAAATCGTAACAACATATATGCCTAGTTTATTCCGCTTATGGACTCCAATATAATCTGTGTTTATACTTCGCTTCAGTTGTTCTCCCCCCGCCCTCCAAAAAAAGATCGGCGGTAAACACAGTATGTTCTTCCTCTACAGCGCATTGTTGTTGTAGATCAGTTAACAATTAAGAAATGAGATAATGGGTTTGCCCACATACATAGAAATGTCCTGAATAATTTGTCATTTTTGAAAAATAAGGAAAAGTTTTCTTTTTTTTCGGACTGTTCTCGACAGAAATACAGAACTGAACACACGACTACTCACTCACACACTTTATGTGACACACTATGTCACTGCAGTAATTCCCCAGAACGGTCTCGCCATTTTTTCTTTGTCGAGCAGGAAAGCCCCATCCGTTGCGTATGACATTTCGCAGTTTGCCTGCAAACCACCCCCCCCCC